AATATATCTGTTTTTTTCTGTGCATCCTCAAGCCCCAGTGTTCAGGTCAAAGTGACACATTCATCAATCACTGGCTGCAGGAAAAGAGACTTTGAGCAGCTGCTCTGTTTGTTGTTCAGCCGTGACAAATATGATTTCTTCTTTATAAATCACTGCGATCATATACTTGTACTCACACAAATGTGCTTCCTCCTCAAAATTCCCAGTGCATGATACAAGACGATGTGTACAAATCAGGTGCAGTGTGTGTGTGTGTGTGTGTGTGTGTGTGTGTGTGTGTGTGTGTGTCTGCGTGTGTCTGCGTGTGTCTGCGTGTGTGTTGAATTTAATCCAGAACATGCATGTGTCGTTTCCTGCGAATCCCTCGTGCATACGCATGACATTTGAATGCAGTGTAAGAAACAGCTGACCTTGCCAGCGGGAATGCAAACTTCTATATACAGAGGTAACTAATGAAAGTAAATTCATTTCTCTCTATATCAGAATAAATATCAGCCACAAATAGTAATGAACTGGATTTGATATGATGAAAATCTTCAGCTTTAACTGTAAAGCTTTTAAGGGACTGAACATGTTTGTGTGACAGTGAGAGCACTGCTATGTGCTAATGTTTAATCTTACAAAGAGTTTTGGCCTGTAACACACTTGGGATTTATTAGCTTGAAACTGCTAATATGCCTTGGAGTAACTATTCTTATATGATCCGAATATCAGTGAATCTCTAAGTAATCATGTTTGCACTCTTTGATGTTTACATCAAAGTACTATAAGCCCAGTGTTGGTGAAAACAGGACGATTATTATTAAGCCTTTCTCCAGCCGTCTTGACGGTTTCACCACTATCAGTCCAAGCTGACCAGTTTGTTGCAGTCTCCGTGGCATCTGCAGTATGTAGCTGCTAGACTTAATGTGGTTACTCTTCTGGAGGTGGTGCCCATAAGCTCCATAGCTTCAACATACAGTTATAAATCCATCTTAATACAGGTGAAGTGCTGGCCAACAGCAAAGCAGAGATGTACCCATTACTAGCTTACTGGATTGTATTGTTAATTGTTTTGTCTGCTTGTTTTACTGTCGCCTCTTTTTAGACTCTACATCCGTACATCTTCGGCTAATTGTATGATATTATCAATCGTTCTATCTGTCTGTTTGTTTTTGCTGTTGTTGTTGTGTCTTTTTAGACTTTACCTGCATTTCAGTGTAGTATTTTACTTTCATATCTGTAGTGTGTTGTGGTTTTACGGTGATGGAAACTGACTATTTTAATTACACTGTATGTCAAAGACCTGCTAAGGACAGGAGTTGAAAATTAGCAATAGCTACAAACTAGGACTTAATCAATCAAAATATGCTTGAAATTTGAATATGGCTGAGCGCGGTATCGCAGGAGCTGCAGTTCTGTTTGATAAAGGCAAAATGCGTCACAACTTCAGTCTCGTGCTCTGTATTGGAACTATGTTAAATTGCATTGTCCCTATTGAATAGATAGATAAACTATATTTAAAAAAAGCTACTGAATATGATCCACGTAGTTCATCTACTGAGATCCATCTCCATTACTTTGTTCCTCTGCGTCGTCCTGTCTCACTAACTGAACAGGAACAGCCATACCTTCAGGTATCTGTAGTGAGAGCTTCCCACACTCCTGAATCGGCCCAAATCCACAGACACACCTGAGGGGGTTTGAGAATCCAGGCTCCCGCAGGCTGACAGAATGATGGACGCAGTATTTAACCTTAATGGGTTTCTCAATTTTCAGTAATCAAGGCATTGTAAATAATGATTTTGTGCCTTCCTAAAAATATCCAGCGCCATTATACCTGCGCCTCAGAAAGGTCGCTATAATCTGAGAACGGGTGATTTGCTCTGTAGGATCATGACCCACATACAAAGGACTGAAAATCCAGAGGCATTGTGACTGCCTCCTTTTGGATATTGTCACCCGAGAGAGAAGTCCCCTCCACCAGAAGATGATGCTAAATATAGTTCTGCGACATCAAAGGTCCTCTTTGAAATGTGTGCTCGCGCGTTTGTGTGTGTTTGGGTGTGTGTGTGTGTGTGTGCGTGCGTGCTGCTCAGCCAGTCGCTCTGCCTGTGAGGGAGGCTAATCTGACGGGTACACAAGCCCCCATGCAGACAGACACAATCAAGAAACTCTCCACTGGAGGTGCGACACAAAACGCACAAACACACCGACACATCCACTCACACAGTCTCTCCAGCAAATAACAGCGTTCCCTGCTGCTCATTTGCTTTTATAAGCTCTTACAAATTCCTCCGTCAGCAGGTCGCGGTGGGACGTTTGAGCTCTGAAGGTCGTCAACTGGTAGATTTCTGTTTTTTTGCACACTTTTTATTCCATATGATAGTTGTGTTTCACAACTCGATTGCCCGAGAAAGAAAATGACTCTCATGACTGAATCTTGTGTAAACAAAAAAAGCAGAGTGCGACTGCTGCAGTCCCCATCAGATGAGCTGAACATAAAGCCTTTTGTGGGCTTAGTGTCTCAGTTTAAGGGCCAGTTAATCAGCACATTAACAAGACAACATAGGAAAGGCTTGGCAAGCAGCTTAATGCTTTCTATTCACTACATTGTTTGATGCTGTCTGGATTTTATATATACATCTATATATATATTTGGGATAGAGTTGTGATTGCAAATGCTTAGCTTTTTTTGATTATTTTTTTCTTTTTCTTTATTATTTATTTCTAGAATTATTTGATAGCGACATCAGAGAAACTGCAAACAAGTAAGTTTTCCAGCAGAATGAAAAAGCAGGGACATTACAGTTCACGGTCAGTGCCTGAACCCACAGACAACAGTTCAGAAATGCTTGTTGGAAAAGGATTCTTCTGTCACAAACTGTCTTTTCAGATAAACTGTCAAAAGCTCTCTCTGCAATATCTCTGAAATAGGGTTTTGATTCAGGACGTGTCGCTGCTCATCCGAAAAGTTCTGAACAAGACTTTCCTCGAGAACTTGAAGAAGCTTTTTCAGATGAACATAAACACAGACATCAAACTACCTGGATGAACCCGCTCGGACATTTGATGCCGAGGAAGGTGATCACAGTACTGTTACCAAAGTTACCTTTGGTTGCTATCCATGTTTGATCCCAATCAGAAGGGAGGGGGGGGGGGTCTGCGCTGTCGTTTCCAAAAGTCTCCAGTCTACAGCACAACCCCCGAAGTTTTCAAACTAACACGGATCCAGCAGCGTTTCCAAAAGTCTTGAAGACTCTGGAGTAGTGGACGCCAGACGTAAACGAGGCAGAAGTGATGCGTTTTAAAACTAAAAGGTATCGGTGTGGACGTAGCCTGAGGCTGAGTGTTTGCGCTCATGTCATCCATATGGCCGGCTTCGCTTTGAGTGAACATTAGTCGGACGGGGCAGAGACACATGAAAGAACATTTTTTGTTTTTTGTTTTGTTTGTTTTTTGTTTTTGTTTTTTGGGAGGTTTTTAAAGCTTTTATTTGACATGACTGTAGAGAGACAGGAAATTGAGGGACAGAGATGAAGGGAACGACATGCAGCAAAGAGTCCAGCCAGCCGGGAGCCGAACCAGGGACTCGCTGCTCACGTGGCGCGCGCCCTTACCACTCGGCTATCAGCTAGATGAAGCTGGTGAGAGGCTCTAAATGTGGGTTTTGATACTTTTCCGGTGAATTGTCCAGCCCTAGTTCTGGGCAGCCATTGGTTAACCTCAGTTCATTTCAAGCATGTGAAATGTGCCACCTTCCTGACACGAAGTGGGCCAGAAAAAGAAGAGGGTACAAGCGCGTTAACGCTATACAAATTTTACTTAAAGGTATAAAGGTAAAGTAATGCAAACATTTCCAACAGACTCGGGTAATGTTCACTTTTAGGGACAGCGAGGTGATTAGGGACAGATGATCCTTTCCTTCATTTTTAAGTGAACCAAGGAAAACTAATGATTTCATCCTCTCTTCACTTAAATGCGCTCATTTTCTCCCAGTGGGTCGTCTGAGCTTCAGCTCATTTCACTGATAAGTTCTGTTTGTGTAGTTAAAAGCGTGATAATCAGCGTTTACGGAAATTGAAACCTCTTCAATTCTCCCAACTCTCTCTGTCCCACAACTGAAGAAACTTCCACAGGTGTTTTTTTTTTCCCAGCCAGGTGTGTAGTGATGCAGGAGTGATGTCAGGTTGGCCTTTAAAAAGTCAAATCACACCACGCCACCTACCCAGAGATGATCAGCAGCGCAGTGGCTCCCCAGCTAACTTTAAAACGCACAGATGGAGGCTTTATACGCCCTGGTGAGAGTCTAACAAGTGCGTTTTACGTGCTCCTCTTTTTAGAGTGAACAACCCTCGCTCGGATGAAAAACCCATTCAGCACCTCGGGGGCAGAGTGGCTGCGTGTTATCACAGCCGGGATCAGTTTTAACAAGTCTAATTAGCGCACGGTGATGGGGGAAAGTGTTTAGGAAGTCATTTGTACCTCGGTTCAACATCATAAACACTCTGACGAACGTTGTTGTAGCAACTGGAGGACGCAGACGATTGTTGTGGCGGTGACATAAAATGCCGCTGTTAGAGGGTAAAAAAAATAAATACTTTCATCACTTTTTGTGTTGCAGTCAGCTGGCTCCTGTCAGGGAGTCCTCCACTTCGCTGTCAGCTCCATGCAGATTGACTTGATTTCTCCTCTTGGTGTCCAAATTGCATCACTTAGCTCCTGAAATGATACCACCACCACCACCACCACTCCACCCCCCAAACCCCTCATCCTCTGCCACACACAGAAAGCATACTGCTCAAATATTCAGCCTCAGCTGTGCAAAGAAGGAAAAGGACAAAAAGGAATAAAGAGGGCACTTAATGAACAGAGCCGGTCAGGGTCAGCGTGTTTCAGCTCCAGTTTGTTCTGATCTTCCTCTAAAACACTGACAAAGATTACTGAGTCTCCTCTCGTTCAGCAGTGAGTGGGCGTCCGCGGCGCCGACGGCTCTAACTCCTCTCGCTTATCTCCCGCAGGCACAACCAGGCAGCCCAAGGAAGGAGAGGTCCCAGGGGTGGATTATAATTTTGTGACCGTTGACCGGTTTATGGAATTGGAGAAAAGTGGAGCCCTGCTAGAGAGCGGAACATATGAAGGTAAGGATTTAGTTGAAGTCACGCTTAACAACGCGTGTGATTGTGGTCGTCCCTCTTTGTGATATTTCTACTTTTTTTTTTCTTTTTATGGAATTTATGTGTCAGTATGGAGCTCTTTTTTTTCTTTGTGTGAGTGACAGCAGTTTGAATGAACGCTGAGACGGAGCTCATCACTCCACACACACACACACACACACACACACACACACACACACACACACACACACACTCACACTCACAAGTATGCCATCCATCCATCTTTTGGCTTTGCAGAGACAGGAATGTCATCACTCATGAAGGACAGTGAGAGGAATCTTCTGTAAATTCTGAATGAAGAGACGCCAGCGTGCGCGTGCACACACACACACACACACACACACACACACATACACACACACATACATACATACATATATATATATATATATATATATATATAGGCCTA